GCCCCGTGCTGGGGGGCACAGGGGTGTGCTGGGCCATCCTGTGCTGTGCAGTGCCATGCTGTGCCATGCTGTGCCAGATTATGCCACACTGTGCCGTGTTGTGCCACACTGTGCCGTGCCATGCCGTGCCGTGCCATGCTCTGCTATGCCATCCTGTGCCATATTTGCCCCACTGTGCCATCCTGTGCCGTACGGTGCCGTGCTGTGCCATGCTGGGCCATCCTGTGCCACACCGTGCCGTACCGTGCCCTGCTGTGCCATACAGTGCCATACCATGCCATACCATCCCATCCTGTGCCATGCCGTGCCGTGCCGTGCCATGCTGTGCCACGCTGTGTGCTGCTCCCTGCGCTGGGGCAGATTTTCCCGGGGGAGGTGGTGCCAGACTGTGCCCCCCCATCCCGTGCCATGGCGTGGGGGTGGTGCTGGTGTGGGTGATGGTGTCAAAGACCACAGCGGTGGTGGTGGTGGCCGTGGTGGCCGCAGTGCTGGTGTTGGTGGCTGTGGTAGCCGTGGTGGCAGTGTCAGTGGCTGTGGTGGTGGTGTTGGTGGCCATGGTGGCAGTGTTGGTGGCTGCAGTGCTGGTGTTGGTAGCTGTGGTGGTGCTGTTGGTGACCACAGTGTTGGTGGCCGCGGTGGCCGTGTTGGTGGCTGCAGTGCTGGTGTTGGTGGCTGTGGTAGCTGTGGTGGCGGTGTTGGTGATCGCGGTGTTGGTGGCCGCGGTGTTGGTGGCCATGGTGGCCATGGTGGCGGTGTCAGTGGCCGCGGTGTTGGTGGCCGCGGTGGCCGCGGTGCAGGTGACTCACGCGATGTACTGCTCGGTCTTGTTGAACTTCCTGGCCAGGTACCGCGCCGAGGCCTTGCTGGGGATCTTCACCATCGAGAGCTCCTTCCCGTAGCGCACGCTGGCGCAGGGCGTGCGGCAGGCGCAGAACTCGCTGTCCCGCTGCACCAGGAAGTCTGGGGGGGCGGGGGGGGCATGGCCACCGCGGCCAACAACACCCCTCCCGCCATGGGGACCACCATCCCACCCCACACCGGGTCCAGGGGGATGCTCCCAGGATGGAGACCCACTGG